CATGTGCAAAAATTTTCAAATATCTAATAAAATATTTTCAAAATTAAAAATAAATTTTAAAAAAAGAACAAACAAACAAACAAACAAAAAGAAGACACAGTGCAGAGAACCCAGGTTTGAACTGGATTGGAAGTCTCCAGAGCTGGTCAAACAGGCAACACCAGCATAGCAATCTTTTCTCCTTGAAAGCTGTGCTGCTTGAGAGGGAAGCAGGGTGATGCCTGCAACTCTTGTGTCCGTCTGTACCATGAGGCTGCTGGTTTTCCACCTCTTTCCCTCCCCTCTGTCTTAGAGCATTGCCTGTGGGGTTCAAATGCTCCATTTAGCCTTGAAGATGGAGAGGGACATTCTCCATGTGTCCCCACCTCATCTGCCTGTGCTTGAGGTCTTCACTAAACTCTGGGGTTCAGAGCTGAGGAGGTCCATTCACTCTTGTACCAAGGGATTGAAGGAGCCCAGGGGAGTGTTACCAAACCCTGCTACAGTTACTGGGGTGACTATCTCTAGGACATTTGCCACACAAACCTGGAGCAAATGAAAACATCTCTGTGTCTCTATAACTGTCCCCCACATCCTGTGTTGTCTGTTGACCTGTAACTGAAGAGTCACCATTGCTTATGCAAGGGACATTCTTGCATTTCCATGGAGAAGAGTGAGCACACCCCTTCATCAAGAACTCAATGGGTTTTGTCTGAAGCTTTAAATTGTTTGGTAGGCACAAGGAAGTATGGTTTTATTTCAAAGCTGTTTCCTGGTAGACAGGCTGGTTCTTTTGGGGCTCATCTACCTCTAGCTGTGCTCGGAAGGTCTCAGGATTCTTGCCACCTCCTGGAAACATCCATGCTCTCTCCTTTTGCTGAGCAGCATAGGGTCGATCATTGCTTTAGAGGATATTCAGATGGATTCATACCCCCACCCACCCCAGACCATTTTCCATGTGAGGTGTGGGGATCTTGAAGGAGGCTGTGGATTCCTTGAAGCTTGTCCAGGGACCGTTCTCTAAGATGCCTTAATTTAGAAAGGAGGCTCTTCATTTTGGAGCATCTTCATTGTTCATTTCGGATGCCTTGTCGGGTAGCTATCTGTTTTCCTCTTTCCTTCTCGCTGCCACTGCAAGTCTGTCCACAGTATCTCATGGCTGTCTTGATGGCACTGCCCATGGGAAGTGGCCCAGCATGGGGAGGCAGGTTGCCAGTTCTTACAGTGATCACCACTGATGTTTACAAACACGGTGGTTTCCTGCCGTGTTTGTAAATGCAGAGAGGCCTGGACCAAAGCTGCATGATATGGATTGACTTGGAGGAAGAGTGGGCCAGGAGTGCCATCAGCCCAGGTGCAGCATTTTGGATCTGCCACATTGTTCAGTGTGGACACCCCTTTCCCCTTCTCCAGAAGACCCCCGGCAGTCGCAGAGCATGGTGGGTACCAGCTAAAGCAGATGTGGGCTTCTCTTGAGTAGTCTCTACACATGCTGGGTTTTTCTTTCCCTCTGCATTAGTTACTTCTCTGTTGTAATAAAAATACCACTACAAAGGCAACTTACAGAACAAACAATTCGTTTATGCTAACAGTTCCAGAAGTTTAGGGTACATAATTCCCCTCCTCCAGTGATGTATGTCTGTTAGCAAGGCTCTTAAAGGTTCCACAACCTTCCCAAATAGCAAAACCAATTGGGGACCAACTGTTCAAATACCCAAACCTATAGGAGACGCTTCTCATTCAAACCCCAACACCCTATCTCCATTCATATGCTGGTCTCAAGTCCTTCCCCTGTCTCCCACTGTGTCCTTTAGTTTGATCCCCTCTTTCCCCACATGATCTGCCTTGACCTTGCCTTCAGGATATCACTTGTATATCTAACTGCCTCGTCATCTTCCCATGGACAGCTTGAACTGACACCTCTGCTTTCACAGGTGACATTGTTGGTGCTGCCACACAATCCCACCTCAAATTCCTGTTTCCCAGTGGAAACATATCCCAGATCTTGCCAGCCCATATCTATGCCACCACAGCATTGGTTAGATTTTGGGTTTTATCCTACTGGGTGTGTGGTTTGTGAGAGTTCCCAACACTATCCCAGTCATCCCCCAATAGTGTTTCTTCCTATTCCCTAGAGAAGAGAGAGAGGCTCGAGATGACTGAAAACACACTTTATTTCCATAGGAGAATCTTCCCAGTATCCCAGGCCCCAAACACAAATGCCTCATGAGTGACTCCTCTCCATGGACGGTCTTCTCCAGGTCTGAGTCCTCTCCTCTCCTAGGATTCCACTCAGCCCTTTGCCTTGACATTCTGCTGAAGGGCTGAGGGTATTCCTCCCATAAAGGTCCCTCCCCTCAGTGCCATTGACTATGAGGTACATTTCACTGCTCCTTTCCAAGCAAGGACAGTGTCAGGAGGAGATTGGCATAGCAAGAGCATGCCAATGGCACTGGGATCCCACAGGCTAGAGGTCACACAGGAAGGATGGCCCCAGGAGGTCTCTTAGTCTATCATTATTGGAGGATACATCAAGAAAACTCACTTAGGAGATAAACACAAGGTGACACATTTCAATAAGAGACCCATGCACAGAGCACAAATCACAGTGTTCTCACACACAGGAATTGACGACACTTCTACAAATTAAATGGACTTTGGAGCAGGGGCAGTGGGAAGCTTGATGCTCCTCTGTAAGGGATGCTTTGTCATATCCATAAAGCCTAGGCCCACCTCATCTCCCTCTTACTACACGTGAAATGAAACTGCTCATCTCAGTCCTTACAGTCTCCTGGACTGACTGGTGACTCCCTTTAGAGTTACCTCAGAGAACTGCCATTGTGGAGGCTCTCTGAAAGCCCAACCCTTTGGCTTGGGTCCCCATATTGAAAGTCAGTCTTTGAAACCCTAGGAAGATTCTGTTTCTTAGTGCCTCCAGGGTTGGTGAGCCGCCTGCTTTCACCAGGACTGGTGCATCAGGAATGGCAGGCAGAGGAAGCTCCTCGGGGTAGAAGGAGCTGTGTGTCTCCAGCTCAGGGAAAAGTCCAGAGCAGGAACTGCATAGATCCTTGCCAGCTTTACCCTCACCTCCTCTTCTGTGGATGGGGTGTCTTCAACACTTGATGCTTTCTTCTTGGGCACTTTCCCTAAGCACACTGCTTTGCATTCATACATAGAAAGATGCTTTTTTTGGGACATAGTTAACAATTTGACGTTTGTTGTCCCTACATTTTATTTTCCACTCACAGAGTGTCATTGAGCAGGATTTGCTTAGCTTTTTAACTCTTTCCCATGATGCTCTGGCTTATACCATTTCTATATAATTGGTGCTTCTCTCAGGTATGCTGATTCCTTCATAGGACTAGAGACAAAAAGCCTAGCCAAAACTGAAAAACTTGGTAGTGGGTGGCATTGTTCTCTCTGACATGATGGATGGAGCTTGTGTGTATTTAGTTATCTGAACCACGAGGACATTCATGGGTGTTACAGGAAGCTGTGGCTTCCAGCCACATCTGGGCAAGGTGTATATCTCAGTGTGCTCTCCTGCTGGAGATCCTGAAGCTGTATCGGGACATGGAGCTTCCAGTCCCCAGTTCTTGGCAGACTAAGTGTCCTTTGGGGCTGGTGGATCACTCAACCTCTTGTAGACAGAGACCAACAATGTGGAGCAAGAGGGCAAGACTCAGAGTCCAAAGAGAAGATGCAAGGCTCCTCTTTCCATCAGTGGAGCTGCAGAGGACAGCCTCCTCACTCTACATACAGTAGCAAAAAGTGAAAAATCTGAGTTAGGACTCCAGTATGAAGACAGGGACAGCCAGGCCAGGAAGCTCACGCACTTCCTGATGCTGCTCTCAGAGGTGGACTGCAGCTTTCTGCAGCTTATGAAGAGATCCAAAGTTTCCTATGAAGTGCTCTGCTCTGTCCAAGGCCAGAACCTTCCTGGAGAAGGAGCTTTGGATCAGGGTTTCTGGATCAATGGGAGAATATTTACATATACCCATCTCTAGGAATTGCCACTCCTAGTATTTCTGAGACTATCATCTTATTTGATTTTAATTTTAACTAATTAACTTAACATGTGTGTATGTGTGTGTGTGTGTGTGTGTGTGTGAGAGAGAGAGAGAGAGAGAGAGAGAGAGAGAGAGATAGTGAGAGAGAGAGATAGTGGAGAAGTGAGAGAGACAGAGAGAGAGAGAGAGAGAGAGAGAGAGAGAGAGAGAGAGCACAAAATGTATACACCATTAAACCAGGGAACACTGAGACTCGAAGGGATACTTAGAGCATTTGGTTCAGCCCTGTAGCTTTACAAAGAAGGAAAGAGGCCCAGACAGGTCAAGCCTAGCATGAGTCTCCTGGCTCTTTGTTAGAATACACATCAGCTGCCACCATAGACATATTCAATAAGAATTGGTTGCATTTGGTACACAACGCAGAAGAGCCTGAAATTGTCAGAAGTTGTCAATCCCATGATATTTAAATGAATTGAAATATTCAGATGTCACAAAATGGTGGATGTCTGTCTTCTATTCATGTGTGCTTAGCTGGGGGATACAGCTTTCATTAGGGTGTATGTGGCACCTTCTCTTATTCACACTGTCTTGTGGAAGGCTGGAGTGGTGTGGGCTAGTCTGCATATGGCTGAGAATGACTTTACAGAAGAAAGACAGAACCTCCAGAACCTCAAACAGGTCTGCTGGATTCTTTACTGAAGAGTGCTCCCCCCAATGAGCACCTGCATGCAGATGAAGTCATTTCAGGCATCATGGGATGAACTGTAGGAGATCAAGTGCGGCTTTCTCACTTTGTAGACATTCACTGATCTGCCTTAGGTCACAGTCATGGAGGATGGTTGACAAGGACAGGAAGTAATCCAGATTGAGTACAGCATGGAATGTTTTCCTTAAGCCATTGTGACCCTTTCCAAAAGCTCCAGTGTTAGGGTATTTCCAATGGATTCCATGCATAAATGAATCAGGACGAAGGATGGGTTGGTGGCCACACTCTTGAAATGTGCCCTCTGCCTAAGCCAGCATGTTAGAGTAGAAGCTAGAACTTTCTGTCATGGTCTTCGAGTTGCTTCGAGAAGAGCCATTGGAGGTGAGATCCAGGGATGAGGGTGTGGCCTTGGGGCCTTCCTCTGGCTCCTCTTCATGGGCTCCCACCACAGTGGAGATGGTGGTCTCCAGGCGGCTGACCTTGTACACACTGCCCTGGGTCTGGAGGTATCGGGTGGATTTCATTTCCAGCCCCTCATAATCACCAGCACTGATGAAGGGGCAGCATCGAAAGGCATGCTTGAAGCCCACACGGAACCTGCAGAGAAAGGATGGAGAGGTGAGTCATGGGACTGCCTGCTTTAAGAGGGCCTTTCTCCCCATGGTGTCAGCTCCTCAACACAGGACCTACACAGGTCTGATTTTTATGCCAATACATATTCAAATTAATTCACATCTGGAGATATTGGGGACAAGCTCCCCTCCAGGACAGTTGTCAAGGTGAAATCAGGTCTTTCTTTGGGGCATCCAAGAATTAGGCTGTTTCCTTGGGTGTGTGAACAGAAGACGTTTGGTTAAATGAACATCAGCAAAAACTACTCTACACTGTAGTTATTTGTGTGTGTCTACTGAGCTGTTTGCCAGGTCTTGTGGTTTGAATGACAAGTATAGTGTTGGGCATTTGAATATTCGGTCCCTAGTTGGTGGCACTGTTTGGGTAGTCTTAGAAGGTGTGGCCTTGCTGGATGAAGTATGTCACTGGTTTTGAGGTTTCAAAAGCCTCTGCCATTTCAGGTTCATTCTCTCTGCTTCTTGTTTGCAATTGGAGATGTGTGCTCTCAGCTGTTCCTGCCACCATGTCAACTACCTGCTGTCACAGTTCCCTACCATTATGGGCTCTTACTCCTCTGGAATCAGAGGCCTATACAAACCCTTTCTTCTATAAGTTGCTTTGGCCATGGTGTCTTATATCAGCTATAGAAAGGTTATTAACATACCAGGTTCACAGTAAAAGTGTGTATCTAGACTCAACCCTTGACTGCCAGTGATGTTTTAGCAGGGTGCCTCAGTTTCCATACTTGTTAAACATGGAGAATCATCTTTACTTAAAGATGTGCTGGGAGATTTAACCTAAAAATTGGAGACAGGTCATCAGGCTCTTAGAAGATGAAACTGTGAGGTGCATAGAGAACACACATACTTCTAATGCTTGTGTCTCAGTTACAAGGGGGCCCTTCCCAGCTGCAGAGAGAGAGAGAGAGAGGGAGAGAGAGAGAGAGAGAGAGAGAGAGACTTACTGGCTGTCAGCTTAGGTTTAGTTTCAGTAAGAGACTCTGTCTCAAGGGAATAAGGTGGGGGATGACAGAGCAGGACACCTGCCATCTTCCTCTGGCTTCCAGTCGCACACACAGATGCCCACTCACACATACAAATTTTCACACACACAAGAAAAAAAACACATTACACATGAAATAAAAGTAATTTGTTTCCTTTGATCAAGAAAACCAACCCACTCTGTGCTCACACTGCTCACACTGTTGCAGAGCCCCAGTGAGCATTTCTTGGAGTGTGGTTAGCTTGCTGCAGACCCACCTGTAGGGAGAGACCCTGGATACCTGTAGCATTGACCACGCCTGTTTTGGCATGGTCACAGGTATTCAGAGAGGTAGGATAAAGAGAGAGGAGGCTCGGCTCTCTCTCTCTCTCTCTTTCTCTCTCTCTCTCTCTCTCTCTCTCTCGGTTCAGGTCAGATCTTAGAGGCATCTGAGACTGGGCTTCTTGGAGTGCCAATCTGGTTATCGGCTTCTCGTGTGAGTATCCCCTCTTAATAAATACCATTAAATAACCATATCCAGTGTTCGAGTCTGTTCCATATCACCCACCACTCCCTTTTGATGGTGGCTTGTAGTTTGGATGTGTGAGCATGGTGTCCTCACCTGTCATTGAGGCAGCAGTAGATGATGGGGTTGTACATGGTGGAACTCATGGCCAACCACATGATGGCCAGGTAGACCTGCTGGATGAACTTCTTGACGTAGAGATCTGGGTTGATGTAAGGCAGGAGGAAGAAGATATGGAAGGGCAGCCAGCAGATGGCAAAGGTACACACGACCACGATCATCATTTTCACCACCTGGGGAGAGGGCAAGGCAGGCAGGCCCATGAGCATGTCCTTCTGTGGGATGGCTTCTGTCCCCTCCCCATCACTGTGCAGCGTGGGTGGGAAGGGAGGTGTTTACAATGTTGTCTTCTAAGGCGGCTGGGAGACCTTTAACACTCGGGCTTAAGGATCCTGGTTACAGTTCTCTGCCTGTGACCCAGGACTACCATCATCGCTACCACGAGGGACTTGTTAGGAATCGCAGGTTATTGGACTTGTCTGTCCTAGCTATCTAGAATTATAACCTGAGAGTGGACCAGGAAACCTTCAGAGGACTCCGATGTGCTGTTATGTGACCTTGCTGGGCAATGTGTAGAGAAGCCAAGGGAGAGGCAGTGAGCAGAAGTGGATGGGGACTCAGGAGAAAAGCTCCAGGGAAGGCAGCAGAGCACTGGGCCAGGGGAGGGAGCTGCGGAAGGTGCTTGGTCTGGAGACATCGCACGCTGAGTTGGAGTTGCCAGTGGGATGTGATGTGTGACAATATTAGGACCCAGGCCTTTGGGAAGCAATTAGACACTGATAGCAAAGATTTATAGACAGGATTAAAGCCTTATGAAGAGGTCTGGGAGCTCTCTTGCCCTTCTACTGTGAGAGCACCCAGTGCAAAGGCAACTGTCATGAGCAGGAAGTACCTTCACCAGACAGGGACTCTGCATTGGTCCAGGTCTCCTGGACCCTAAAGCTGTGAAGACCAATTTCTCTTGTTTATAAATTTCCAGGTATAAGTGCTTTCTTTGTGTATGCATGTGTGTATGTGTATTACTTGTATGCATTTGTCTGAGTTGTATGTAGCTGTATGTGTATGTGTGTGTGTATATGAGTTGTGTGTGTATAAGGGTATGCATCGATACACATATGAGTGTGTGAACTTTTGCATATATGTATATTAGCACATGTGCTTGTGTATGTGTATATGAATATGTGCATATGTGTGTATGTATGTTAATGTGTTTATGAATGTCTGCACATGAAGGATTATGTGAATGTGCTTGAGTATATATATGGGTATATGTGTATTGTGTGTAAGTATGTGTGTGTATGAGTGTATTTGAGTACATGTATCTGTATATGTGTGTGAATTTTTGTGTTGGGTGTATTTATTGATGTATGCACATATGGGTATATGTGTATAAAGTTTGTGAGTGTATGTATATGTATGTGAGCATCTACACCTGTATGTGTACATAGGTTTGTGTGTATTTGTATATGAGTGTGTATGTACATTTATATGAGTATTTGTGTCTATGTGCTATGAGTCCTTATATATATATATGTGTGTACATGTGGGTATGTGTGTGTATTATATGTATATGTGTAAAGTAGGTTTTTTTATATGTACAAGCATGGGTATGACTGTTTATGTATATGAGTGTCTGTATGTGGATGTATACATGTATATGACTGCTGGCGTGTATGTGTATGAATGCATGTGTGTGGATGAGTATTTTGTATATGTGTGATTATGTGTACATATGAAAGTTTGCACATGTGTATGAATGTGTACATGTACTTGTGGGTATGAAGAAAGACCCTGCTTTCCTCTCCTGTTCCTGAGGTCCAGAGATGCCTTATGGTTTCTGCCTCTGGGGACTCCCTGCTCCCCCGCCACTGTCAGTGACAGGGTGGACTATGCCTGCTTGACCTTTGCTCACCTTGCGCTTGGCAGAGACTTGCTCGTGGTAACGGTTGGAGGAATCCCCAGGGATCTCGCTGGCCCACAGTGTGATCCCTACCACAGTGTATGCATAGCCAATCACCAGCAGGGGCAGGAAGTAGATCAGGATGGTCACACAGATGTGGTACCTGTGAGGCAGACAGAAGAGTCAGTTGTAGAAACAGCAGGCCATTAGTTTGTAGCTACCTTGCTCAGCCTTGGCCATCAGGCAGGGAGGAACGCCACCTACACAGAATGAATGGGTGATGATCCAGAGAGAACTACTCAATTTGATTTATATTCTTCTAGCAGACTTTCCCCATGTTTATAAATTTTCTTGTTTTTTGCAAGCAAATATCTGACATGGAGCAACTTATTGGAGGTAGTGTTTGTTTTGGTTTGCATTTTGAAGGGCTAACATCCATCATGGCAGGCAGACATGGCAGCAGGAGAGGCAGCTGGCCACACTTGCTGTCTCACGAAGCGGAGACACAAAGGAAGTGGGCCTGGACCGTAAAACTGGCTAGCTCTTAGATTCCCACTTTCCCCAGCAAGGCTACATTTCCTAAGTTCCATAGCCTTCATCTCTCCTTCACCAGCACTCCACTTGCTTCCACTCATTTCTGTGTAAATTTCAACAGCTCTGCCACATCTCCAGCCTTCTCGGAGTATGAAAATCAACAATTTGAAAATGCTTGAGGAGCCCCAAGTCAAGCAAGCTGAAAAATTGGTGAGGCAGAGTGGTAGCCCATTGATTGTGTGCAGGAGGGCTGATCCTGGCTTCTGGGTCTCTCAAGGTCCTCTGGGTAGTCACCTCCTCCTACAGCCACCACAGCGGTGGCTGTGTGTTGTGTGCCCAATTTGCTTTCAGTCCTTCCTTCAGGTTGCTGTGGTGACTGTGTTCACAACAAAGCATTGAAAGATGACACAGATGGACAGAACCAGAGAACACTTCAAGACTTCCCCATGGTCCCTTCCTGAAAGAACAGATCTGCCTCCTGTGGACTGATTAATAACTGCCCAAATGACCAAACACCTTGTTGGGCCTTGACAGGCCACTGCCTTGGGGTGCTCTCTGGGACTGTCTATTGAAGGGTGCATGGGAAGGGTCCATGTGGTCCTCACAGTTGGCCTCAGAATTCCCTGGTGAACCTGAGCAATTGCAGAGGGCTGGGCATAAAAAGTCAACATTTCTTTGTTTTACACATTTGTGTTTGTGGTGCATACACATGTGTGTGCCTATGTATGTGCAGGTGATTATGTAGTAAGGGTGTGTGTGCCCAGGCATCTGCAATTGATTATCTTGTTCTATGGTTCTCTACCTTAATTTTTTGACATAGGGGTTCTCACTCTACATGGAGCTCACTGATTGGCTAGACAGGACAAACAACAAGCTCCAGGGATTGTCCCGTGTCTGTGTCCTGTGTGTCTGCTTCCTGATTCTGTGATTTTTTTCCTTTTTTAAATTTAATTTAGAAACAATCTTATTTTACATACAAATCTCAATTCCCGCTCCATCCCATTCTTCCATGCCCCCCACTAACCCTCATCCCATCCCTTTTCTGCGCCATAGAAAGGGTGAGGCCTTCTATGGGGATCATTAAAGTCTGCCACATCATTTGGGGCAGGGCCTAGGTCCTCCCCCATGTGTCTAGGCTGAGAGAGTATCTCTCTATGGGAAATGGGCTCCTGAAGCCCATGTGTACACTAGGTATAAATGCTGTTCCATTACCATGGACGCCATAGACTGCCCAGGCCTCCTAATTGACACCCATGTGCAGGAGGCCTGGTTCTGTCCTATGCTGGTTTCCAAGCTGTCAGTCTGAGGTCCATGAGCTCCCCCTGTTCATGTCAGCGGTTTCTGTGGGTTTCCCCAGCATGGTCTTGACCCCTTTGCTCATCACTCCTCCCTCTCTACAACTGGATTCCAGGAATTCGGCTCAGTGCTTAGCTGTGGGTCTCTGTTTCTGTTTCCATTAGCTACTAGATGAAGGCTTTATGATGACGTATAAAGTAACCACCAATCTCATTATCTGGGAAGGACATTTTTTTCCAAGACAGGGTTTCCCTGTGGGTTTGGAGGCTGTCCTGGAACTAGCTCTTGTAGACCAGGCTGGTCTCAAACTCACAGAGATCCGCCTGCCTCTGCCTCCCAAGTGCTGGGATTAAAGGTGTGCACCACCACCGCCAAGCTTGGGGAAGGGCATTTAAGATAGCCTCTTCCTTATTGCTTAGATTCTTTGTTAGGCTATCCTAGTATATCTCTGGACATTTCCCTAGTGCCAGATTTCTCTTTAAACCTATAATGGCTCCCTCTATTAGGTATCTCTTTTTTTGCTCTCCTCTATTCTTCCCCCTACTCAGTCTTCCTGCTCTCTCATGTCCTCCTCTCCCCTCCTATTCTCCCCTTCTCTAAGCTTGGGGAAGGGCATTTAAGATAGCCTCTTCCTTATTGCTTAGATTCTTTGTTAGGCTATCCTAGTATATCTCTGGACATTTCCCTAGTGCCAGATTTCTCTTTAAACCTATAATGGCTCCCTCTATTAGGTATCTCTTTTTTTGCTCTCCTCTATTCTTCCCCCTACTCAGTCTTCCTGCTCTCTCATGTCCTCCTCTCCCCTCCTATTCTCCCCTTCTCTTTTTCCTAACTCCCTCTCCCCTCCCCGAATGCTCCCAATTAGCTCAGGAGATCTTATCCCTTTCTCCTTCTCCAGGGGACCATGTATGTCTGTCTTAGGGTCCTCCTTGTTTCCTAGCTTCTCTGGCAGTGTGGATTGTAGGCTGGTAATCTTTGCTCTATGTCTAAAATCCATATATGAGTGAGTACATACCATGTTTGTCTTTTTGTGACTGGCTTACCTCACTCAGGATGGTTTCTTCTAGTTCTATCCATTTGCCTGTGAATTTAAAGATTCCATTGGTTTTTTTTTTCCTGCTGAGTAATACTCCATTGTGTAAATGTACCACATTTTCTCTATCCATTCTTCAGTTGAGGGGCATCTACATTGCTTCCAGTTTCTGGCTATTACAAATAATGCTACTATGAACATAGTTGAACAGATGTCCTTGTATGAATGTGCATCCTTTGGGTATATGTTTAAGAGTGAAATTAATGGATCTTGTGGTAGATTGATTCCCAATTTCCTGAGGAGTTGCCAAACTGATTTCCAAAGTGACTGTACAAGTTTACACTCTCATCCACAATGGAGGAGTGTTCCCCTTTCTCCACATCCTCTCCAGCACAAACTGTCATTGGTGTTTTTGATTTTAGCCATTCTGACAGGAGTAAGATGCTATCTCAGAGTTGTTTTGATTTGCATTTCCCTGATGACTAAGGATGTTGAGCACTTTCTTTTGTGTCTTTCAGCCATTTTGGATTCCTCTATTGAGAATTCTCCATTTAGTTCTGTACCCCACTTTTGAATTGGAATATTCGGTGTTTTGGTGACTAGCTTCTTGAGTTCCGATTCTGTGATTACAGGTGTGAACCACCTCATTATGGGCTCTTTGCATGGATCCTGGGAATCTAAATTCAGGTGCCCATAATTTCACAGAACTTTACCCGATGAGTTGTCTCCCCTGTGCCAAGTCCCTTGAATTTATAGCAAATTTCCAGGAGATGCTGCTTCCGTTCCTGGTTCAGAAATTGAAAAACATTGCCCTGGACGAGTGGTTCTCAGCCTCAGATGCAGAGAAGAGTCTCTGTGGGAGCTTTTAATGCCCAGTGACTGAAGGTGTTCGTTCATTCAATTAGCCGGAGTGTGGGAGTAGGAGAGCATAATCTAGAAAATTCCCCAGTTTATTGTAATAGATGGTGGGGATGGGGAACTTCTATTTTAGGTGTTGAATCTGCAAGACTGATGAGTCCCTGTTGGGACTCTATGGGTTTTTGTAATTGAATGACTTCATTAGAGTATGTGTTAAAATTCATTTTCCCCCTATAACTTATCCTTTGGTATTTGGGGTCTTGTTGATCAGAGGGCCTTGTGCTTACAGTGGTAGCTAATTCCTAGAGACAGAAGTCATAGATTTCCCCCCTCCCCCTCCTCCGCCCCCTTTTTGCTGACACAGAGTCTCACTATGTAGCTTGGCCTTTCAACTTGTGCTCTCTTTCTCCCTTGGGCTACCTCAGATGTGTGCACCTCTACACCAGGCCAATACTTCTTTTTCAAAAGAACACAAAAAGTAATATTGTTATTTCTTTGGAAATAACAAACAATATGAACCTAATTTTTCTGAAAATATATTACAGGGGAAAGAGAGATAGCCCAGTCAGTAAGATGCTTGCCTCCCAACCATGAGGACCTGAGTTCAAATATGCAGATCTCATGAAAAAAGTCCAGGTGTGGCAGTGCCCATCTGTAATCCAAACACTGTGGAGATGGAGACAGGCAGACCCTTGGAACACTTTACACAGACTGGCTAGAATGTTGAGCTCCAGTGTCAGTAAGAGATCAGGTCTCAAAAACTAAGGTGTAGAGTGACCGAGAAAGACACCCGATGTTGACCTCTGGTTTCTACATGAGTGTTCAAGTGTGTGTGTGTGTGTGTGTGTGTGTGTGTGTGTGTGTGTGTATGTGTGTACATATGCACATGACATGTGCACAAACACACACACATAAACTCACAGTATTACAGTCAGGTCAAACATTGCTTTTTCTATCACCTAATAAGGGATAATTAAGGATAATAGTCCATTAGCAGTTTTATTTCTAGGTATACACTTAAAGAAACAGAAAATCTGAACACAGATACTTATGCATGATTGTTCATAAGAGCTAAACTCTGGGAACAGCACAAATATAAGTCAACAGATGAGTGGATAAACAAATTGTGGTATTTCTGTACAATAAAGTGTTATTCAGCCTGAAAGAAGAGTGGTGTCCTGGTATATGGATCAACTCTGCAATCACTTCACTGAACGAATAAGTGAGGAGATAGAAGTAGAAGGGTGAATTCTGAAGAATTTCACTTCATACAACACTATGCCATAGAGACAGGGAGCAGATGAAAGGTTTTCAGGGGGACAGAGTAGGAATTTATGAATTCCTACACTCAGTGTGCACAGAGTTTCTGTTTGGGACAATGAAAATGATCTAGAAATGGATGGGTGAGGGTGTTCTAATGCCACTGAACTCTACTCTTTAAA